CACACAACACTCACACTTGTCAGGGTGTCCCAAATGATTGGCGTGTAAGCTGGTTCAAGTCTCCAATTATAACAGAAGCCAATGTACAGTACTTGGATGTTAAAATTAACCACAACAAGGCCAAATTTGATCTTACCTGCACGTGTTTCTCCACCCTAAATAATTTACCTATCATCACCTAATGACATAAAACTCATGTGTGTGTACAGTAAGTCTGTTTTTTTGTTGATGGTGATTCTTATGACGTATTTAAAATATTTATATAACATGTTCCTTTGTAAAGTCAATGGCCTCTTGTGTCAAATGAACAGATTCTCTCAAGGCAGAATCAAGTTTGACTACCGTGAATTTGGGCAAATGAATGTCTTTAGCTGCAAGGTTGGGTGTTCATTAATAAAGTAATTGTGTGTACATTTTCCGTGCGATGTACTGTAAAAAAATGTACTTCATCTAGTTTGGAGAATGCAACTTAAATCTAGATTTTTAAGTCTATGTGATGACTCAATTCATTTAATTTCAATTCACTTTTTACACAACAAAGGTCATCTCAGGGCACTGTACATAAACCTTCACATACATTATAAAAAGTCAATTATAAAACATTATTTACCTAAGAAAACCTGCAGATTGCATCAAACCATCCTTAAGTCACAGTCTCCCATCCTGAAGAAGCACATTAGTGACAGTAGAGAGGAATGCCTGCCTTAGTAACAAGAAGAAACCTCCAGCAGCATGTTTTAAATCTTAGTGATATTGTGCAGGCGAACAAAAGCAGTTCTGGTAAAAATATTGCTGTGGGTATTAAATTACCTATCAAATATAACACAGAGGTTCACCAAGGTAAGAAATTTAGGAGTCATTAAAGTTTATATTAGGGATGGGACCGATCCGATATCGGCCTCCGATACCAGCATAATTTACGTATTGGATTTTTCTGATCCAACCTGCAGAGATTTCCGATCCATGATGCATGTTGGCTTCAAATTATGGAATGGATTTCCTGAACGGCGGCGTGTCTCATGAGCCCAGAGTAATAAGACCCGCCTCACATTCAGGAAATCCATTTCATAGTTTGCAGCAGCTACAACGTGAGGACTGAGTTAGCAGCACTGTGGCTAACAGCTGACCAACATTTCATCTAAACATGTCCGCTGTGTGGAAATATTTTACATTAGAAACACCACAGAACAAGACAGCAACGTGCAATGTCTGCAGAGCCATAGCACCACATTAAACCACAGTAAAGTTAGTTTTACGTTGGACATTAGAGCTCCATGGCTTCAGCGTGGCACTCCTCTTGCTCAACCCGAAACAGGCAACTCAACCCCGGCCAACTGCCCTCAGTCTGCCCGTCTCTGAGGAGGGGCAGACTGAGCGCGGCTGACCGAAATCAGGCTGCCTGCTTTGGATTGAACAAGAAGAAGACATTGCTGAAGCCACAGAGCTCGAATATTTACTGAAAAGTTGCTAAACTTCATCATAATTAATGACCAACCGCTATCAGTTGTAGAAAACGAAAGATTTCACAGCTTGATACTTGCAGCCAAGATATATTTTACCCTCCAGGAGATATTTATCAGTAGACAATCATAAAACAAATATATGATTTGAAAATCACAAGAAAATTATATATATATTATAAAAATAATGAAACAAAAACAGCTACCCAAAAAAACAGCTACATTATAAAACGATGAAAAATACTAAAAACAGGAACATGTCTGTTGGTTTATGCCATGAACTTAGCAGATGTTTAAAGCCATTTAACATTTTATTTTATTTAATTCATTAATTCATTCATTTAAAAGAAACAAAAATAAACAACAATTTCATCAAAAAGAAAACATTGAATGAAAAGAGTGCAGAAAGAAGACAAAAAAACTTATATCTGCCCCTTATTAAAAAAAAACTTTAAACAATCACTTAAATTAATCACTTTAATAGCCACTTTAAAGCTAGGAATAAAAAAACATGTTTTGTGTTAGCAGAATTTAATTCTAACTTTAAAACTTATCCAACATTAATAAAACTTACCTCAAGGTGCCTTTTTGGACATGCATGCATATATTTGTACAAATTGTACTTGAGAGGAGATTATTACAGCCTCATATAACATCATTGATGATGATAATATTGGAACGGGATTGGTATCGGCTGATATCCAGATTTGGGTATCGGGATTGGATTGGAAGTAAAAGAAATGTGGATTGGTGCATCCCTAGTTTTTATGTCACTAAGATGGGCTTGTGATTTAAGAAAATTATTGAGTTAATCACATTTCATGGACAAATATAACTATAATCAGCATAACAATGAAAATTTCTGTCATGCTGTTTAATAACTTTACCTAATTGAAGCATATATAAAGTAAAGAGTATTTGTCCAAGTATTGGACCCTGAGGAACTCCATGACTAACTCTGATGTTTGAAGAAGATTCATTATTTATATTTACAAACTGGAATCTATCAGATTGATATGATTTAAACCAATTTAGAGCCATTCTTGTACTCCCAATATCATATTCAAGCCTCTGTAGTAAAATATTGTGATTTTCTTCTTTTTTCTGCTTTTCCCTCTTCAGGGGTCTCCACAGTGAGTCATCCTCCTCCATCTCATTCTGTCTTGCACATCCTCTGTCCTCACTCCAACTACCTCCATGTTCTTTCTGACTGCATCCATACACATATCTTATCTTTGGGCTTGCTCTTTGTCTGCTTTCTGGCAGCTTCATTTCTAACATCCTTCTACAAATATACGCACTGTCCCTCCTCTGGATATGTCCAAACCATCTCAGTCTGGCCTCCCTAACTTTATCTCCCAGTTGTTCAATCTGTGCTGTACCTCTGATGATCTCATTCCTAATCTTATCCATCCTTGTCATGCTTAAGGAGAACCTCAGCATCTTCATTTCTTCCACTTTAGTACTTATTATTATTATTATTTTATTTATTATTAACCTTTATTTAACCAGGCAAATCCCATTGAGATCACAGATCTATTTTGCAAGAGAGGCTTGGGCCTGAAGGTAGCCTAACATGCATGTTTTTAGTTTGTGGGAGGAAATCGGAGTACACGGAGAAAACCCACGCAAGCACAAGAAGAACATGCAAACTCCACACAGAAAGACCCCAGGTTCAACCAGGGATTGAACCCAGGACCTTCTTGCTTTGAAGCAACAGTGCTTACCACTGTGCCGATGTGCCGCCGTCATGCTGCTGTCATGCTGCTGTCATGCTGTTTGAAGTCCTGCACCTTTGTGACCTCTGCTCCTTGTAGCCTCACTGTTTCACCAGCCTCCCTCTCATTCACACACATGTACCCTGTCTTACTATGGCTGACTTTCATTCCTCTTCTTTCAAGTGCATACCTCCACCTCTCCAAGTTCTCTTCCACCTGTTCCCTGTTCTCACCACATATCACAATATCATTTGCAAACATCTTAGTCCACAGAGATTCCTGCCTGACTTCATTTGTTAGTCAGTTCATCACCAGAGCAAACAAGAAGGGGCTCAGAGCTGATCCTTGATGCAATCCCACGTCCATCATGAAGCTATCTGTCACCCCAAAAGCACATCTCACCACTGTCCTTCTGTCCTCGTACATGTCTTGTACCAGTCTAACATATTTCTCAGCTACTCCAGATTTCCTCATGCAAAACCACACCTCCTCCCTCGGCACCCTGTCATGTGCTTTTTATAAATCCACAAAGACACAATGGAGTTCTTTCTGACCCTCTCTGTACTTCTCCATCAGCATCCTCAAAGCAAAGATGACATCTGTGGTGCTCTTTCTTGGCATGAAACCATACTGCTGCTCACAGTAGTTACATCTCGTCTAAGTCTTGCTTCCACAACTCTCTCCCAGAGAGAGATCTTCATTGTGTGACTCATCAACTTAATTCCCCTTTAGTTGCTGAAACTCTGTGCATCACCCTTGTTCTTAAAAATGGACACCAGCACACTTCTTCTCCATTCCTCAGGCCTTTTCTCACCCTTAAGTTTGATGGATGGAGGTATTTCCAAGTCCCCTCTGCTCTGAGACAGGGGGACTAAAAGGAAATAAAGAAAATCAATAAATCAAAATGATAATAAAAGAACTACTATTTTTCCTCAAAATAGACATATAAACATTTTTAAAACTGTGTAAGAATGATCTAAAAAAGTTCAATCTGGTCCTCTGGACATAAAAAAAAAAGCGAAACAACCAAAAAAAATCTAGAAACGTTTCGTCTTTCATCCGAAAGACTTCTTCATTTTGAGGTGCTGTATTCAGCTCAGTCTTATAAATAGCACCTTCTCAGAGTGGATCAACCAGTTTGCTGCTGACAACCAAAACCAGCTGCTCACATGCTCAAGAAGGACCATCAGCCTAACAATGGTCCTTCTTGATCATGTGAGCAGCTGGTTTTGGTTGCCAGCAGCAAACTGGTTGATCCACTCTAAAAAGGTGCTATTTAAGAGACTGAGCTGAAAACAGCACCTCAGACTGAGGAAGTCTTTCGGATGAAAGACGAAACGTTTCTACATTTTTTTGGTTGTTTCGCTTTGTATTTTTTTGAATGTCCAGAGGACCAGATTTAACGTTTTTAGATTTTTCTACCTGGATTATTGAGCATGCATCAGGATGTGTAAGAATGAGTAATAACAATCAATTACATTCATTTATCATTAATTAAATAATCAATACAAATATCAGACATATTATTAAGAGAACTGCCAAAGTTTGTGATCACTTCAAAAGATCAACAAGTTCACTTTATGTTCATTCTTCTTACATCATTAGAAATAACTTCATGGACTAAGATTTTATAAAATCTATTATGGAAAAAGAAAAACTCTTTTTTGTGTTTGTTCTTGTAGTTATACGTATTGAGTAAGCTGAGTGCATGTTTCCATGTGCGTTTGGTTCTGTTTAATCGGTGCAGATAATGTCTCTCTTTCTGTGTGAAGTCATTTTGCGTCTCTGAAAGCGTCTCTATGTTCGGGTGTCTTCTCATCAGGTCTCCACTATGGAAAAGAGAGCGTTCGGAGCAGCGGGGGCGGCGACCTTCACAACTTCATCTCCTCCGGCTTTGTGACACTTGGTCGAGGACCTCAGAAAGGTAAAGCAGCATCTTCTTCCTCCTTTTTCCTCCTACAGGAGCTGTTCTGCTCTGTGCTGCAACCTGCTGAATGCTAATTCACTGCTAACGTTCCACTTCCATCACCGCTGATCAACAACAAGACACTCAACGAAGGTGAAATGTTTTCACTTTCAATTTTCTCATTAAGTAATTCACATGAATTTTTGCCTCTGCATTCTACAATTAGAAAAGCAAACACACACTAACCTCCAGTGATGTGTGAGGCCGGGGGGAGAAATCCAAAACCCACACAATCATCACCGCATGCCATTAGTTGGGGGTGGGCTGTGTATTTTTCCTATAGGTAAAACACTAATTAGTATGTAGCTAATGTCTTTTGTTTTATTTTAGACCATTTGTGTGTGTGTGGAAGTGTGTGTGTGTGTATTTATACTGTTTTTTCATACTCTTCAAGACCTTTACAGTCATCCACCTTGTTGGGACTTGTAGTCATAGGGACCAAAGCTCAGTCATAAATTGTGTAATGTTACATTTGGATTGGGAGTTATGTTTATGGTCTGGGTTAGGCCACAAACACAAATAGAAGTTTCTAGTGTCTAAATAAGATGAGAAATACAAACTTGTGAGGGAACATCTTTTCCTGATTCTACTTCTTATTGAATGATTGGCCTGTTCAGTTGTAAATGTTGTAAAAATACACTGATAGTTCCTGAATTATGGTAAAAGTATCATTCGTATTACTCTGGATACCTCTAGTAGTACTCAAAATAAATATTGGTATTACATTTTTACAAGTTAAATAAAAAACTGATTAACATTCATCAAACGAACTGGGAAGTAAAGATAAAAAGTAAAGAGAGTCAAATAATTTTTACCTTGGCTCCAAAGGAAAACTACTAACAACAAAACTGTAAAGGAGAATAAGGTGAGAACCACTGGGAAATCATAGGTCAGTTGTTAACAAAGGTACTTAAACAGCACCAGTGAAGTTTCTGTAGGACCTGCTGACAGTGAAAAAGTGTTAATCAGAAAGGACACTTGACTCGTTATTTTAAATTATACTGAATAAAAATATGACAACACAATGCCACAGAGGTCATAAGTTTTGAATGAATGTGGAATTGGCATGCTGCAACACGAGGTGATACTCATTGCATGGATGGCACAACAAAGGGCCTCAGGGTCTCATCACGGTATCTCTGTGTATTCGAAATGCCATCAATAAAATGCCCCCGTGTTTGTTTTCCATAATATACATCTGCCCATAACAACACCGCCACCTTGGACCACTCGATTTACAACGCTGATATCAGCAAACTGCTCACCAACATGACGCGCAGTCTGCCATCTGCCCTGTACAGTGAAAATAGGGATGCATCCATGAAGAGAACACCTCTCCAATGTGCCATACTCCATCAAATGTGAGCATTTGCTCACTCAAATCAGTTACAATGAACTGCAGTCAGGTGATGACAAGCATCCAGATGAGCTTCCCTGAGACTGTCTTTGACAGTTTGTGCAGAAATTATTTGGTTTTGCAAACCAATTGTGGCAGCAGCTGTCCAGGTGACTGGTCTTAGATGATCTTGGATGTGAAAATGCTGGATGTGAACGTCCTGGGCTAGTGTGGTTACACTTGGTCTACTGTTGTGAGGCTGGTTGGATGTACTGACAAATTCTCTGAAACAAGCTGAGCCAAGATAGCAGTGTGGGGCTGAAACAACCTTAAACAACATGCTTCAACCTGGGTTAGGTGTGCTTTTTACACCTCAGTGGTTCCTCTGAGCCAGGCCAGTGGCTGAATGTCCATCAAGCTCTCATTTTATTTGTTTAGTCCAGAAGTAAAATACAAAGATTGTTAAAATAATTGATTTCCTTTAGGGTTGAAAGCATCTTAAGGTTTTTAGTTAAATTTTTGGGACACAAACCTAGCATTACATCTTGGGTTTATTGGGTATTTTGGCCTATATTTGAAGATGTCATCTAAAAGGCCCCACCAAGAAAAAAACAAGCCCCATTGTCTGCATCTTAGTCAACTTGGTTTATTGAATAATGAATGTAAACCGAAAGACACATGTTTGCTTTTAAAGTTAGAGGTATTCTACTTATAAGTAAATAAGTCAGATTAATTGTTTATGTACTTATATGTTTATATACAACCTTGCTGGTCCTCCTCTTGTCAGCTGAGGACCAGCTGTGGCTTTAAATGGCAGCCTTGTGTGGAGGTCCCAGCAGAGGAATAGGGATCCTGTCACTAAATATCATGGGCTTGTTTTAAAGTCCATTGAACAGCAGGACTAGTTTCACCCCGCAGTAGCATTTTAAATAAGACACGTTGAATAAATGTTCTCTAGAAACGAGCAGTTTCTTTCTTTTTGCTGTGCTTGTTTTTACCCCCAGAGATGGTCTTTTTCACTGCGCTGTTCAAATGCAGCGATGAAGGAAAAACCTTGGATGTTCTCTTTAGTTGCAACCACCCCCACAAATGTACACAATAAGAAAGAAATGGTAAATGGACTGTGCATACATAGAACCTTTCTATCTAATCAAGATACTCAAAGCACAATCTGTGCCCTCATTCACCTCCACACACACATTAGTACATCACTTTAGTACATTTCTACAAAGATACTCTGAATCTGTAGAGACGAATCAGTGCTTTATCGCACTCATACACTGATGGGACACACATCGGAAGCAATGAGGGGTTCAGTGTCTTGCCCAGCAACACTTCAGCATGTGACTGCTGGTAGAATCGAACCCCTCAAAGCTCTAACCACTCACCCACAGCTGCCCACAAAGTTGTTACCTTTTATGAATCCTGTGTTTGTAAGATGCTAAATTATTTTAATAGATTTTCCTTTTCAGTACAAATATTCCATCGTCAGCCCTCCCACTTGCCTGGCTGTTTGCTCAAATTTAAAATTCAACATCTGTGCTGTTAAGTCTGTTTCTCCTGCCTTTGGTTGCTCTTGTGCCAAAACAAATGACAGATTGAGACATTGGAACGACCCGCTGTTGCTAAAATCCCCCTTCCCCCAGCCAAAAAAAAAAAATAGGAAGGCATCAGAACTGAAGCACATGGCCTTCACCAGTGTTCTTCTTTGGCAGCATCTTTGTACGGCTGCCCGATGCCCACAGGCAAGTGCTCCTGCATACTGTATCCTAAATCAATGAAACACAGCTCTGAAATTTGGTTTGGTAATTGTTGCTGCTCGGAATTATCTCCAGGATTTCGCTATTGTACAATCACTTCAGGGCAGAGGCAGAAAACAAGCAGCCTCCCCCGCTCTCATAAACTACAGCTACAGACACAAAATCTATCTATATATTTATTAATCCTCCCAACTGTGTAGCGACAGTTTGTAAGATACTCGTATCGTTCACATATATTTATTTTCTAATTGTTCTAAAGGCCCTTGATCTATGAAATTATCTGCTTTTGGTTCATCCAGGATCCATGGACAGATTCTAAAGTCTGCAAAGGTGAACATGTGGGCTGATGTGGACTCACGGGGATGAACGATGAGTCACGTTAAGGTTAACGGCACAGAAACAGCCCATCTGAACCGAAATCCTGCCAAGCTTCATTATAATTTGATGAGGTTTGCTCAGCTTGGCTTGTTCTGGCTGAGAGCAACAAAGCTGAAAGTAAAAGCAAATTCACAGGTCTGTCAGTGGGATGAAAAAATCTGCTTCACATGAATCCAGAAACAGATGTTGTCTTCCTCACTGCGCCTGCCTAGTTTTATTTTTTAGTTCAAATGCTCTGAGTCACGTTGACAGAGGCAGGTTCAGGAGACCTGATGTGACACTTTGTGTCTGTTACCATTACAGGTAGAAAGTGAGATTCACCGTTAACAAGATGAGATTCCTGTGTGTGTGTTTGTGTGTGTGTTTGAGTGTGTTTTTGTAATTGTTACCTTGTAAAGCTCATTTTTCCAACTTGTACTACATTTTGAAGACCAACTGCTCCTTATGGGGCCCAAAGCCCGGGCCCCATAAGGAGCAGGGCCGTTGGTGGGTTTGAGGTTAGGTTTATGGTTAGGTATGTACTGGAAATGGTCAGGTTTAGGGTTAGGTACGTTATGGCAGTGGTTCGCAACCACACCGGCCTGCGGACCGGTTCTGGACCGTGGGTCAATTTATACCGGGCCACAAAAAATAAATAAATAAATAATTTTGAAGAATCACCAGATTCTCTCCACCACATCTGTCAGTGAGTCACTCTTGATGCAGGTCAACATACACAAGTGGTAAGTTTCAGTTTCTGTTAGACGCATGCGCAGATTGGTTCTACATTGCCCAGTCGGGTGGAGTAATTTAGCTGCGTGGTGTGGAGCAGACAGGACAGGAGGAGGCGCGCGGCCGTACCTGCGCATTTGAAGGATTTTTCATTCATTCAACCTTTATTTAGACAGGTAAATCCCATTGAGCCTCGAGGACTCATTTACAACAGAGACCTGATTTCAGCAAAGAGTGATGACAACAATAGACAGCCACAAAAAAGGCATACACATTTTTTTTTACATTGCATATTTTTAACCTGCCTGACAAAGAGTGACTGTAAAACTATTAACTAAATAAAACTTTAATTTTAAACAAAGCTTCCTAATATCACATCAGAGCTGGTTTTGTCTTGAACTTTTTTGAATTCACATCAGAGATGTTCCTTCGCATTTCTGCTTCTGCTCTTAAAAAAATATCCGTCCTTAAAAGTTCAAAGTCATGGGCAATTTTATTAAAAAACACAAATATAATAAAAGTTTTGCACTATGCATAAGTTGCTGCGCTTTGTGTACAATCTAATGTGTGAATCATTGCGAGGGTTAGGATTAAGGTAATGGTCAGGATTAGGCTACATAAATGAATGAAAAATGAATGGAAGCCAATGCAAACGTCCTGTAAAGGTAGAAAGACATACGGTGTGTTTGTGTGTGTCACGATGCAGCTCCCACATGGGGCAGGTGAGGTCAGGGGAGTGTAGTGGAGTGATAGCAGCTGGATGCTTCAACTGT